GGGGATTTTTTGTTAATGTTTTTTAGTTGTGGATAGTTTCAGGATGAGTCCTTTTCACCTGGGCTTAGGGATCTCATTTTTAACTAAGTTTTCATGGGGTTCCACCAAGCTCCTAATACTTGAATTCTGTAATGCTAGAACTTAAGTGTTTAAATTGCTTGTAATAAGTGAAACAGGCTGGAATTGAGAAGTCATTTTACTATTAGATAATTTAATAATATTGAGATTACATCTAGACCTGTAGAATCTTAGTTTTGAGGAGACTTTGGAGAGGTCATCAAGCATATTATTGTCCAAAGTTTATGTATAATTTTAGCATCTTAGAGTATATGGTTTGCTAGTAATATAGCAACACAGAAAATACATATAAAAGTGAATATAAACCAATTAAAATTTTAAAAGGTTTGTACCACCTAAAGTCATCCCATATACACTCTGGTCCAGGTACTACATTTTCGGAAATGTTAACCTTGTTAGTATTCCAGTAAACTCAGGAATTTCTTCCTGAACATACCTTGTGGTTGTTCATTCCACTGGAAATAAAAAATTTCCAGCTCATCTCTGAGGCAGGCCACTCTAATGGATACAGTTCTTAGAAGTTCTTACATTCTTAAGAGCCAAAATTACATCTGCCTAACTTTCACTCATCGCCCTGTTCTACCCTAGAAAACACTGAAAGTCCAATCTTTCCCACATGAATGTCTTATATATAAGAGACAATTCAAGGCTGGCGACTTCTAGGTGATACAAGATGGCCTGAAAACGGCTTTAAATAGGACATCTTTAATTCCTCATTTTCATCTTTAAAATACCAACTGGCCAAGATTAAAACCAATAATACCGAGTGGTGGGAAGTCATAGTAAAACAAGCAATTATATCCACCATTAGTAGGTATATATAGGGTGTCCCAAAAAAATGTATACATACACTTTGAATAATTATAAAGGCAGTGTTTATTAAAATACATTTCATTTTCAAAATTGAGCTATCAGCTGTTAAAGTGTATACTTGGGGGACATCCTGTATTTAGCAATAATTTGGAGGGCAATGTGGCAATATATATAAAAATTTTAAAATACATGTACCTTAAGGCTTATGGGAATTTATCCTAGAGATACAAGTATACAAGTGCACAAAGACTAATGTGTAAGGGTCATCTTTGCAGCACAGTTTATAAGAAGCTGATGAGGTCAACGTGACCATTAGGAGCTAAATAAATCCTGGCCCATCAATGCATTAGAATATTGTGCAACTGTTACAAAGAATGGTCCATATCTAAGTGCTAAAGTGGATGAAATTTCTAAATGCAAGTTGCACAAACTGCAGATATAAATATACTATAGATAGATATTCTGTGTTTTTTAAAAAGTGGTTCTCAGGAGGAGCGGCATTGCCAGGGCTTATGGAAACCTGTGCTAGTGTTTCTTGTCACAATGATTGGGGGGAAGTGACACTATAGATCTTTAGGGAACAAAAGCCAGAGTTGGCAGACTCCTGTGGTATGATGATAGTCCCCACATCCAATGGAACCACTCCCCACATAATTTTTGTGTCTGCTCTGAGTTACTCATGCAAGTGAAAAGCATGTTTACGACCTGAGCCTAGACCCTGACTACATTTTACATAGGAAAGCATTTTTTATCAGATGCAACATACTCTGATTTTTCTCGACATGCAACTGCCATGTGTATGGAAGACTGTGTTTTGGTTTTGCTCCGGGCATTTTATAAATCATTTCATAAAAGCAAGTCACAAATAGCAAGTGTGCACAGGTACCCGAGTCACCAATACAAGGCCCCTGCCTACTTTATTCTGTGCCTCATTCATGCTGAGCCTAGGTGAACATCAAATATGCCATGACTTCATTTTGTCTTTCAGTGTAGTTGCACCCCAGCACCTCCATGTAGAAATGTGTATTATTTTATTATCATACTTTCCTTCTCTAAAATGTCTTTACCTTACAGTCAGGGGGTATCAATCAAAAAATCCCAAGTGCGTGTCGGTTATATGAGGGTACTAGGCATATACTGTGTTCTCCTCAGGCCCCTCAATGCCATCACCTAGCCCCCTAGACTCGGAGCTGCTCACTCAAGGTTAGGCGCTCCCAGCTCTGCCCAAACTGACGTTCTGCCGCTCAGAGCCAACTAACTGCCTGCCTGGAAGCGTGGCCTCCCCGCCTCTCCCCTTGGGCTGCGATGCACACTTGAATTTCTGGGGTCCGTCATCGACTCTGGACTTGGATGGTAGGCTACAGTGTAGGGCTTAAGAACTGGGATCCTGAAGAGCCGCTAAAGGTAATGACCTGAGCAACCCAGAACAGTCGGGGGCTGAAATTTTTGTGAGCCTAACAAGAGTTAACAATAGGAAGGTGCTGAGATAAACCATCCTTTTTCTCCTTCCTCTGTGTGTCTCTGAGACGTGGCTTCTCCATGCACCTATATCCTGAGACACTGCTTGTGACTGAGAAGACACCTGCTGGGGACTGGCTGTCTCTGGGCTTCGTGAAGCAGTGGCCAGAGCAGCAATGTGTCACCGGCCTTGCTCTCCCGCCTGCCCTGCCTTTTTTGCCCTGTTCTTCCTCACTCTCAGTGCCCTGGAATTGGGCCTCCTGAAGCATCAGCACTTCAGCCCTGCCTCAGCTTTGCTTTTCTAGGAAGCTTGGCCAGAGACCTTTATTTATTAGTTTCACCTCGACAATAAAGAGGACATTAAAAATATTTCTTATAAAAGGGGTGTTAGGTTTGCTCAGTGGGGGAAAAAAGAGACACATAATATATGCTTGTACTTGTATAAAAATGCCTGGAAAGATACATATTTTTTAAAAAGCCCTCTTTTTATCAGTTATTGCTGGAAAATGGGACCAGGACCATGAGTATGACCTTAATACCCTTCCATATTATGTGAACTTCTTAAACGTGCATTTAAAAATTCTGCTTTGAAAAAGGTTTTCTTTTTATGGGAAAATGTCTTTTAAGTTGTTTATAAAATCTTGAATAATAGTACTGTCTGTATATATGACCAGAAGTTAATGATCACGCCACCTGTGGTCTTCTAAGATACACTCTGATTTCATAAGAAGCAAGTCTAATACCTCACCAGCCTGACTGAATCAGGCCCACGCAGGGTATGGAACCCCATTTGTCAAAAAACAGACAAGCAGCAGGAACCTCTGCTTTTGCCTTTTACCCTCTAGTCATTTTTTTCCTGGACATAAACAAGGTCTTTTCTTGGAAGAGTGTGAGACGCAACGCAGAGAACACTGCTCAGTGTTAAAGCAAGACTAAAGCAGAGGTGGAGGATGGTGAGCAGTGACACCCAGGGGCACAGGACACAGGAGTGGGCACTGACACAGAGCCAATCCATTGAGGAGAAAGTGCCCCCTGGACAAGGCCTCTGACCCTGACTCCAGTCTCAGAGGTGCAGCCTACTGGCCTGATGGCTGCAGTTCTGCCCTGGCTTGGACCAGGGCCTTGGAATGTTGAAAAAAACCACACAAAAAAACCTCTGTTCTTCCCGTGAAACAAAGCCAATTATATTTTCAGCAACTTTCAACTATAATCCTTTGGAAGAATAAAGCCTATTTCCTCCCAAGAACTCCAAGGCAACGTCCAAGAAAGACCCTCATTTGATGCATTAGTTGCAGTGTCTCTGCTTTGTAATTCTCACCTGCACAATGGGCGAAGGAACTGCTTCCTCTGCAAGTTTTCTGGGTCTCAAGAAAAAGGCAAATCCAGTCCAAAAAGCTTTCTTTTTTCCGCAAGTAGGGCCTTCAAACTAAGGCCTTAATAAATGAAGTTTTTGCAACTTTTCTTCTTGCACTTGGCCTCTCAGTGAATTCTTCAATGTGAATGGAACCTAGTGTTTATGCAAAACAAACCACTGCACAACCTGGTGGCTTACAACATAGCAACGGGTTATTTCTCACTATTCTGTGGGTAGGTCCTTGCTGGTTTTGCCAGGCTCACTCATGTGGCTGTATTTAGTTGGCGCACTCTGTTGGACTGGAAGGTCCCAGATGCCTCACTCACTGTCCTGCAGCCGGTGCTGGCTGGCGGATGGGGCACCTCAATTCTCTTCTAGCCTCTCATTGTCCAGTAGGCTAATCCAGTCCCTTATGAGGTTCCCTTACAGTCAGGGCCAGATTCTAGAAGAGCAAATCAGAAGTTGCAAGGTCCTTCAGGACTAGCTTCCAGCACACCATGCCATATGCCACCATATATGGCGAAAGCAAGTCACATTTACCAAGAAGTAAAGAAACATCTTTTTCTATTTATTGGAATAATTAAATAACCAAGAGTAAAAATTTCAAAACATATATAAAAATATTAGCTTTAAAAATTAAAATATAATGAAACTATAAAATATGTATATAATTAAAAATACATTAACTGAGCATCCTCAAAACTATATAAATATGGGATTATTTATGAAATTCTTTAGAGATGTAATATCTATTCTTTGAGTAAAGTTTGAAATTTGCTTATAATGTTCAAACTAAGAAAAGAAGAAGTAATAGCTCTGCCCAATTAACAATTGTCCAACGGGAATGATTCTGTGTTACTTCTTGCTTGTCTTTTCTAATACCCATTCAATCACCTAGGGGAGGAAAAAACAGAGTTATGGTTCATCTCTTTTAAAAATGTGATAAAAAAAGATATTGTTAAAACTTCAAAAGAGTACGGTAGAAATTTTAAAGGAAAAAGTAACATGTCAAAATCTCAAAACCTATTTTATCTTAAAAACATGTTTTATTTTCTAACTGGAGAGCACTTTTTGCCTGATATCCACTGCAGAGCATAGTAACTTCCCAATGGACCAAATGATGCTGCTGCTCTATTTTCTCACCTTTATTTAAAAATGTTTCAAATGTTCTCAAAGAGTCACTAGAAAGAAATCAAACCAAACTTTTCAAACAACTAATCAAAATGAAGTAATTTTCCCAGCTCTTTGGATGACTTATTTTTTAATTTTTCTTTCTCAGCATCATAACGGGAACTCTTGTTCACAGAGCAACCTGTTCAATACCACGCAAAACTCTGCTTGCAGACGTCCATTACTAAGCATTTTAAAGAGTGTCCTTACTGCACAGCTAACAGCATTGAAGCTACTCCGAAATAAAACGGAAAGTTTAACTGAACGTAGCCTAGTGGGAATGACTGATGTACCTGGACAGCATTGTTGTTTGCAGTTTTCTTCATTTCCTCAATTAGACCCCTTGACGTTTTAAGATCCTACACATAACAAAATACAGCATTTTACAACTTGCACATTAACTTACAGAGGCCAGTCGTTAGTAAATAAACTTGAGATTATTCTTTATGTTTTGGCACCTCTTGGTGAGAAGCGTTCCTTTAAAGAATGCTGATCCTTGGCTATCCAGTCAGATTTTAAAAAGACATACTGAAAACCGTACTGGAAGCTCTGTCTGGTGCAGTTTACTCAGTGGTGGCTTTACACAGTCGGGTGATCAGGGGCCAGCTGGGTTTTTTCAATGCGGCCTCTGATTCTTTTTTCTCCAGAGACTATTTCCTGCCCGGTCACGGCGGTGGGGAAGAAAACTATGAGTAACAGACCCGTGGTTAGCACTGTGAGAGAGGGATGTGCCAGCAAGCTGAAGGCTCCCCAGTCCTATGAGAACCTGATGGAATTCCCGGCTTCCCCTGAGGGCTGGGGTGGAGTCCCGAGCAGTTCAGACTGTGGCCGCTGAGCTGGTGTGTTTCTCCCTGGCATTGTACCTGGCGGCATATAGGCTGGAACTTCCTTTGCTTGGCTACACCACACTTTCGTGTGCTTTGGTCAACAATCTAAAACACACGGCTACATTTTCCCCCTCTTTTTTTGTTTTTTGTACTTGAATACTGTCTTTCTTAAGAGATTTTAGAAAGAAGGGGAATTGAATACATGTGGTCAATATGCAGTTTTAACCAGGAACCCACATAAAATTGTGTTTCAAGTCTGAAACTCTGAACACTGTAGATAATCTAACACCATCTAAGTTTCAGAAAACTGTCATCTGAACAAATGGCTGATCTGTCCAATGTCTCACAAGTTGATAATGGATCCAAATTTAGAAACTGGGTCCAGAAGCCTTTCCATTACATACTAAAATTACTAATTAAATATATTTTTGAAGCTTATCAACTCAATCAAAGACTTGTGAGGGAAATACTGAGGAAACCAATTAAAATGTGGTTTTCTATATATGAGGACGAAAAACAAATAAACCAAAATATTTTAGCTCCAATTTTTCTACCAGCATTTTTAAAAGAATCTGGCAACAGTTCAAAGCATTTGTTATAAAAAATAGTCCGTAACCATTATTTCAAATAGGAACATGAGAGCACGACTTCCATTTTGCCGTTGGTAGAGAAGAGCCCGTACCTTTAGGTAGAATTTGGAGATCTCGAAGAGACGCTGGCTGCAGGCAGCGAAGCACTCGTGGGCCTCAGGAATACTGTGCCTCCTCAGGGTCTCAGCAACCACTGCTTTCAGCATCTTGAACAGAACATAAGATATGACTAATGTTTCTTGGAAAAGGTACAAACATTACTTCAGCTTTAGAGCTCAGTTCTATAAACTACACAACCAAGTAGCTATGCTAAAGACAGGTAAGTTCACTAAGACAAGACTGAGAAAGATCTGAGACGTCCACACGGTCCCAAGTGTCGCTGGTAGTATCTGTTACCGAGGTGACTGGAGTATCTTAAGAGAGGAATGAAATCGTGAGTTCTGAATTGAAATCTGAGTGTACACATTATACACAGCAGAGTATTTCTTTTTTATTATGGAAGATTTTAAACATTGAAAAGTAGAGATTTTATAACAAATCTCTATCTCAATACACCTATCAACCACCATCAAGGAAGACCAATTTGTGGCTAATTTTGTTTCATCTATACACCAACTAACCACTTTCCCATTGTCCTTCTTGCACTGGATAACTTTAAAGTAAATTATAGATACCATTTCATTTCATTCATAAAAAGTTTAGCCATACATTTGAAATAAGTCAAATAAAGGAATTTCTTGCCATATAGAACTGAGAGAGACAGGAAATAACCCTTTACCCGTGTATGTTTCTGTGATCTTGATTCCTTAGTTTGCCTTAGTGCTTTTGATTCATGCCCACTTTTTTGACCTGAATTGGCCTTGGTAGTGACTTTTGGAGTTTTATAGCTATGAACTGGAACAGCTGGACAAGTCATAGATAATGATCTCTCAGCCCGTGGCTCTTTGGATGTCACTGGATGGCAGTGATGACTTGTATTGCCACTCATCTGAGAAAGAAGAGAATCTGAACTTTCAGACTTCACAAGTCTATTGTGGGGAAAAATATCAAAAACATAAGATTAAGTGAATCAACAATGAAGTCCATTTTCTGTTCTAAATGTTTACAGCTATATTCATTGAAATATAAATCCAAGAAAAGCAAACAAAATTTCTTGCTGCTACTGCCTTAAATAAGCAAACTTCATCATATTATACAGCTGCTCCCCTAGTTCTTCAAATGAGTGACGAAATCGCAGAAGGCAATGACTGACAAACTAGAATTTCAGCAATACTACTGTTGTCCTCCCCACACACTCACAATGTCTCTCATAAATCAGCTAGGGAATGCCTGGTGGTGCTATTTATAGACTCAGTGCTTATCTGTTAAATATTTATACATTTTGCTGAAGAAACCATAACCTATACTTACGGTACCTATGCAACTACCTGGCCAGGGCCTGAAACAGGTGGTTTAAAATGGTGCCTCCTGGACCCCTCTGCAAGGGGCCAATGCAAGCAGGAGCAATGAGAGAGGGAACGAAGACCTAAGGGAACTTCCAGCCCCGAACACCCTCTTCCACAGAGCAGCTCAGCTGCTTAATCTATTGTATAAGATCTCCAGTGTTCCGTGGCTTCAAAACTTTACAATCCATTGTGTTAATGGACTGTATATTAGCATATAAAGCAAGCAACAGTGTGTTTTTTCCAAGCCATTTCTCTTTATAACTTATAAGCAAATCATCAACTGCTCATAATAAAAACTAATTTCGTGGTATGAAGGAATTAATCTAAAATCTTATGCAAAAAGCAACTTAAAAATATAACACTACTATGGGGGAAAAATCACCCTAAGGATTAAAATACTTTCTGTGCAGATACTATTTGTGTGTGGTTAATACAGCACCTCTTTTTGGGATAAAGGCAGTTCAGGTCCTTTGATCTCCTTTTCAGTCGGGACACTTCGGTCCGGAACTCGCTCTGGAAAGCTTCTCCATCAGGGACACTTCCAGGCTCAGACGAAACAGCAGGAGACGGGAGAGGGCTCAGCACAGTCGGTACTGGAAAACTCTCTCTGGTGCAGGTAGTCTGGGTTTCATAACGAATAAGACGAGACTGAAGTTCAGAAAATCCCCCATCTCTTTCTAAAGACCTCTGGTCGTCCAAGCAGTATCTAAAGGAGAGAAGGATCATTAAAATCAAAGCCTTTACGACAGCAATGGGCTTTTTCCTGCCAGTTAGAAAACAACAAAACATTTACTTTAAAAGTTATTTCACTTCCTAATAACTGTTAGAAGGCTGAGCAAATGGCTGACTTCCTTCACAAGTTTTTTCTAGGCTGCTAGGTGACATGGCAAAAGGTTTTGAAACCTGAGGTACAATCTGATTCCTCTTTGACTGTTTCTGGCTCACCAAACAGCTGACAATATTTTGAATTTTCCCTTTGAGACTCACTTCCCACCTCACTGACTGATTGACAGGTCTCCCTTCAAACGCTCCAGCTGTCTCTGTGCATCTGGCTTCTAGCTAAACCTGACTCAAGGAAGCAGTGAGATGTTAGCTCCGTGAATATTCTGGACTTGAAGAAATCCCATGCTGTTAGTACAACAAGCATATCAGGAGCATCACCTATGAGAGATGTGACCCTAGAAAGCTCTTCACCTCCCCCCACGCTACAGCTGCATCGAGGAAACAGTCATTTCACACACTGATCGTAGGACCACAAAAACTAAAACCTTTCTCCACTGTCTGTCCTCACCTGTAAAATTTCAAGATGCTCCCCAAAATCAGATTTTGTATCCCTAAGCTTTAAGCCCAGCTCCCCAGGAGTGTGTCACTACCCTAACATCTGATGGAGGTTTTAGGGACTTCCTCTCTCCCTCCTGACACTTTCATACTTGATTTCTAGGAGTACAGACTAGAAGGTCAGATTTGCTGGATTTAAATCTGACTCCCCAACTGACCAGCTGTGTGAACTTGGCCAAATAATTTAACTCTATCTAGGCTTCTTGTTGCCTTGTCTGCAAATGAGATTCATAGCAGTCAACTCAAAAAGCTATTGTGAGGATTTTTTGAATGGGTATAAGTAAGCACTTTGAGTCAGTGCCTGGAACATGCAAGAAAAGCAGTCAATAGATGTAGCTGCTGCTGTCATCATTATCATCGTAATTATTACTATTGTTACTATTATTTCATCATCATTAGGTTTATTTTCTACCACAGCATATCTTGTATCACGCTGATAATACCCAGAACAGCCAGGATTTACACCCAGGTGGATGAGTTCAGAGCCTGACTTGAACCACTGCAATATACTTACTATCTCTTGTGTAAGTGTAAGGATCGTCTTCCTCAGAGCCCAACCTCTGCCTGAACCTGTGAATCATCTGAAGAATTTTAAGAAAAACTGACACCTGGTCTATACGCCCAAAGTTTCTGATTTAATTGGCCTGGGGTGAGACCCAACCATGGACACTTTTTTAAAAGCTGTCTAGGGGATTCTAAAGAAGATCCCACTTAAGTCTGACTAAGGTAAATTTACTACAAACAAAAAGTTCGATCTGTAATCATTGCACAAAAGGATATGCAGCTAAAAATATGAATACTTTAAATAAAGGGTTTAGCTAAATTCAAGTTTATTTGGAAAACACACTTAACTTTTTGCGGTTAGAGGGAAAACCATAATCCTCTCAAATAAGAAATTCTTTCCTCAAATATCAGAATTGAAAAGCTTGAACAAATGGCATTGCTTATCTTTTTGTTATTCAGTAGTTATCTCTGAGTTGCCTGTGGTTAACAATTTAAAATTCTGAACGATTCAGATTTAAATTAGCATTCTATATGGGACTTCTTTCAGAACGGATTCATTATTGGATGCTGTAGCTCTTATTGCTCATTTTAAAGTCCTCAAATCCAACTGTCTTTTCCACACTTAGAGAAGTTTAGCGTCTTAGTTTAACGTTGCAAGTTCAATTACATTGTTCCTTGTTATTGCTCAGGAGTTACTGCTTCAATTACGTTGTTCCTTGTTATTGCTTTATTACATACGCCGGTTTATTCCTCCCTTCTCCTGTTGCACACCGAGGCTGTTTCCAGCTGGGGTTATTATGAATTACACTGCTCTGTACATTCTTGTACAAGTCTTTTTGCAAAGTTATGTTTTCATTCCTCTTAGGCAAATACCTAATAACGGAATTTCTGAGACACGGGGTCTGAGTATTTTAGTTTTATAAGAACCTGCCAGATCCTCTTCTGAAGTAGATATATCATTTTATACTCCCACCAACAGTGTATGAGAGTTCTGACTGTGCCATATACTTTCCAGTATTTATCAGTCTTTTTTATTTTAGCCATTCTGGTGGTGACACAGAATTTTATTTTATGGATGTCCTACATTTTATTTTACCAAGTCCCTAAAGTTAGAAATTACTTCTAATATCTCTTATTTTAAATAACACTGGGAATAATACCTTCGCATAATAACTCTCAGTGCATATCACTAATTTTTTTCATTAAGCTAAATCAAGTGATCAGATACATATATATTCTTTAAGTAAAATAAATCTTACTTAAATGTAGTAAGGAGCCTAAACATGCCTAGAATGACCTGTTGGGTGGCGACCATCTGTATTTCCTCAGATTGCACCACTATCCATCCAATGCACTTAAGCTGGAACACTGAAGAAATTCTTACAGCCTCCTTTCTCACCCCCAATATCTAAGTGGTTTCTCGAGTTCTTTACATAGCTCTTAAGTTTGTATTTGCCTTCCTGTTTTCCCTGTCTTGACAGTATTTTAGTCTTTCGACATCTCTGGCTTAAAATACCTGTTTATCAAAGTACAATGAGATTCCTTGCAAACCCAAGCATCTAATTTCATGCTTTGAAATAAAGGTTTTCTACTGCCTCAAAAGTAAAGATCGCTGTCCCCTCCATGTCAGCAATGATCTCTGTGACTTCATGATGTGGTCCCATTATCATACAATATACTTATTACTTTTCCTAAAAAACGAAACTGCCATTTCCTCTTCCTAGAATCCGTGCCCCTGTACCTTGCTCATCTCCCAGACAGTCCCTTTTTGCCAGGTAAACACCTAATCATTCTTTCAGACTTCATTCAGGCATCTTCTCTGAAACTCTCAAACCATTCCTGGCGTTAACGGGTTCCAGCCACTGGGCGGGGACCTATCCGCATCTTAACACTATACTCTGCCAGCATCATGTGTTTCAAGTTTGCAAGCCAATAAAAAGAGTATGGTTCGGCTGCTCACTGATAAACTTAAAAGTTGTATCTTAAAGATTAAAGTAAAATCAAGTCCTTTTCTATTTTAATTTATGAAAAATCAATGTAAAATAATGTCTTGCTTTAAGAACGTGAAATATCTTACAAAATGAATCACTAGGGTCTTGAAAATTGATTGCAAAATACATTATCACCATCTTGTTCCTGTGAAAAAGGTAGGTGTGCACATGCCCTCAGAAACTGCCAGCACCTTTAAGCAAGAGAATCCTCTGAAATTTTATTCAAACTGGTCAATTAAAATTCTACAAAAACGCACACCAAATGAATATGTTACAGATGGGAACTCATTTCATCTAACAGTGTCTGAGCAATTGCAGTGTAATTAGTGACCAAGGAATACTAATGCAACCCGAAGTCCTATAAATACATTTATAACATAGGCACCGAAGTAAGTCTGATTAAAATATCTAGTAACTAATAGGATGTTTAAATACTGTAAAACTGGTTAATTATCAAACAACTTTTTTTTTTTTAACCCTCATCAAGGATATTTTTTCCATTGCTTTTCAGAGAGAGCAAAAGGGGGGCAGAGAGAGAGAGAGAGAGAGAGAGAAACATCATGTAAAAGAGACGAACTGATTGGTTGCCTCCCACACGTGCCCCGACCGGGGCTGGGGGTCGAGCCTGCAACTGAAGCCCGTGCCCTTGCCTGGAATCAAACCTGGAACCCTTCAGTCCACAGGCCAACGCTCCAACCACTGAGCCAAGCCGGCCAGGGCAAGTAACTTGTTTTTTACAATAGAAGACAAATTATTTGTGCACATACTACTTTGTTTTTTGACATACTTTCTCTTTGGCTCTATATCTCAACTTACATCATTTTATTACACTTACTCTTAAAACTCACATAAGATAAGCTACATCGACAACACACAGAAGAGTTAAGGGTAAATAAAAAACTTACTCAATTCCATGATAATGACATTCGGAGGCTTTTTCAAAAGGTAAAACTCGAAGTTTCCGAGGACTAAGTTCTGGGGTCAGAACAAAAGTCTTTTCCCTAAAACAAAAAGGTTTTCATTTGTATTTAAAGTTTACTTAGTGACAGAGAGAAAATTCCAGAAAGTGTCTAAATAAAGAAATCTGACTTCCCTCAATACAAATGAATCTTACATAGGATAAAAATGAAGGTATCAGAAAGGGTAATAAGAAAATGATGGAGGAATAGGCCTGTGGATTTATCTCTTACATTTTCTGTGCCTCAAGGTTCTGAAATTGTAATGTCACTTATTTTATGAAACTATTCTGAGACATGGACAAATCGAGAATGAAAAAATGATCTGTACTGGAAATTCAAGAAGCAGCATTACTCTGGATTTTTTTTTCTTGATATAGTGAACTAATGTTTATGTATTTAGTTAAATTCTTTCTTGCAGAGGAATAATTAAAGTCAGCTCAAATCCCTGGTAACAAAGGATGTATTCACTTCCTACTGTAACACAGGAAGGACCCACATCTTTCTTTACCTGGGAATGCAGTCATCCTGACACCTACTTTAAGAGTCAGCAACCTTTTAAATGTTAGAGGGACTAAATGCTGATTCCAGTTCTTCTGAGGTAGGTTTTCAATCAGCAGGCATGTTAAAACTAATCCTACAGGGAGCTTACATAAAGTGTTCACGCTTAACTCTTCCATACCTAGACCTGTAGGGGCACGTCAAGATCTCGGGAGAAGGTCACTGCAATTAGGTTAAGCTCCCCTGGCCATTCGAATGGGTGGCTGCCTCCTCTACGTAAGTTGGAGTCACTGTTCTAAGGTACTGGGTCATGTTCCTGAAGCTCAGACAGGTTGGGTGGGAATGAGAGAATTATGCACCAGTGGTCTTGACATAGTAATAATAATAAAATATCAGGGGATTGGATTCAGAAGACTTGGAAATAGTATATAGAAAGGCAAGTAGATAGTAGAACACAAATAAATTTCCTATCTCATTTTTCCCCGTGGCATTAGTAATTACACTGCCATTGGCCACTGAAAATTACCGAAGGTACTATGATAAGCATTTGAAATTAATGTAAGACATACATTCATCATAAATTCTAAAAACCAGAATTTATATTCTAATGCATCTACTTAAAGTGTTCTACAAATTGCAATAACTCCAGTCTTTTTTTTCTTTATGAAACAGTCTTAATTGAAGGCAAAACAATGACCCCAGTATTTTGATGAGGGACTATAAAAGTGAACATTTTGTAGGATAGAACTCTTTAAGTACCTGGCATTTTACTTCTTTCCTTTACCATGTTGTACTCCATTTCTTATTTCAAGCCCTCTAAGCAACTTTATCTATTTTTGTTTAATTTTACTCAGACCTTGTTCTTTCTAAAAGAAACATTTTAATAAGTATTCTTTTGTCAATGTTTAATATTTCTTTGGTACATACATAGGAGTTACGCCTGAACTTTGTTTAATACAGCATTTTGAATGGATCTTTGCTTAGGTAGACATTTAATAAGAGTCCACTGGTTCCTGATTCACTGCGATGAAAGCTCATCCTTCAACCTTAACCTTAATAGAAAATACACTTGATAATGATGCAGTTCTTTACTCACATCAAGGAACAATATCAAACTTACCTAAGTAAATTACTTATAAGCTACAGGAGGAATCAAATATATCTCCCCTACACCACTGCATCCAGAAAGACATGTGGCCACAAAGAGTAAGGACCTACATAATTCAGTTTGGGCAGACCCATATGACTGCCAGTTCATGCTTCATGATTTAGAAGGGTAATAATCCAAAACTAAATAGAAGAAAGTATGTATATACTTCTTCACTTTCTTGATTCTCACAAAGAAGGGTATCAATCTCTCAAAGCTAGGAGAAAAGGAAAATTACTCTAAAATTACACAATTTTTGCGATTAAGATCATTAAGTCATTAGGGCCCAGAATCAAGAGCTCAAGTTTTCAAAGTTGCGCTCTCTCTCTCCAGTAGTGAACATGCACATGAAGGCAACAAGCTCTATCATTATTTTTGAGACATAACTACCTTCAAATAGATCCTTTCCAAAATGTACCTTTAAAATCAGTATTTGCCAAAATAACCTTTGTAAAAAAAGTGACTGAAATGATCTATAATTTTTAAGGTCCTTTGGAAGGGTTTTCAAAATAATGGATTAACAAAAAGAAATTGGGGTCATGAATAAATTATGCAAATCTCATAAGTTTTTGATGTCATTATTTTACCTGTAATTAGTCAAAATGCAGCAACATCCAGTTTTTATTAACTAGTAACTTAATAGAAGTTGTCTTGGAAATTAGTTATAATTTATTCATGAAGACACTGACTGCTTACTTAGTAATGTTATAGTTTCAAAAGAATTTTTACTTTTCCTATTTTCTTCAGTTGAAAGATTGTGCTTTTTGCTACTATTGGCATGACTGACAATGTCATGACAAGCACATAACAGCAAAATCAAAACTAGACAGTAACATAGAAAAGAGAATTAAAAATATGTATTTGCAAGTCAAATTATAATTTTTTCTTAAAAAGTAGTATCCTTTGTATACAAAGTCGAAGCTACTGACTTTTACAGGGAGCATGCTGAGGTGGCTTTTGTTACGTGTTCCCCGTGTATTCAATACCACAAAGCACGAGGACATTCGGTAAAACGTCAGGATTAAGGCCAATTGATAAACATTGGGATCAACTTGTGAATTCTGCCTAAGTGACACAGGACATCAATGAATGGGGAAATGAGAGGTCATGTGTTTTTTTCCATGTTTTTAAAATTAATTAGAGATTATAAGTTTATAACTTACCCCTTTTGAATTTGTAGAGGCTGAAGGTCTCCAACCGGCAATCCATCTGAGGTAAAGAATTTCAGCAATTCTTTTGCATCCAGTAACGTGATCGAGTCCCGTGCACCCTCTTTGTGGCCCAGCAACTGTTCAGATGAACGAGGAAATGAACCAGCTCTAGGAAAATAATGTTATATAGATATATTAAAAGTGGATTAGAATTCCTCATAGTCAGGAAAAGGTGACGAGCAGAAACCAGAAAAATACACTAAGAAAATTGAAGAACTATACATTTAGGAAGAAAATAAAGTAAAATCTTTGCAAATCATTTAGTAACAAAGTATATTTTTAAAAATCTGTAGATCACAAGGAAACTTGCAGTTACCATATCAACAATGCTACTACTTAACTAAAATAACTACATACTTTATAAATGATGGCATGGTTAATTATTTAGTAGTATGAAGTTATCAAATCCACAAAATTTAAATCAAAACTCTCTTGTATGTTCTGAAACCCCACAATATTGTAAATTCTAAAGGTAGAGTCTGAATGTTCCATTTTCCTATGAACCTGAGATTACTTGAAGCACAACCATGAAATGAGGCAGCAATCAGAAATCTCTCCAAGGTCCCATCTATCCACGATTACAACACTAGGACTAAGCCCTGAATCATTTTATACCTGACATATATGCAGGGCTGTATACTTTTCAAACTATTTTACAAACAATATAGTCTTAATCCTGACAAATTTCCTCAAAAAAGACAGAATAGGTCTTACTTCAAAATCAAGTTAGCACCTGAAAATAAGTACTTTGTAAAGTGAAAACCAGCACACCGAGCCTAAAACACAATCATATCCCTACTTTTCAGATGCAGACACTAATGCACAATAGTTTACATTACAGACCCAGGGTGGGACAGCTATTTGAAATGACAGTCAGAAGTAGACTGACTCAGAATTACGTACTATTTCTACTCCATCACTTTATAAACCTGAAAAGCTCTTAAAAAGTTTTAGAAACTGTAAAGAGAAAAAAACACTTTCATGTCAGAGAATTTTAAAGGTTATATTAAGTACTGAGTCACAGATCATGCCACAGCCCTGTCACCAAAGCATAAATAAAATCTTCCAATGCTGGCACAGAAAAATAATTTCCTGACTTCATATCAGTTCAACTCTCATGATCATTTTACTACTCAAATCAATTACTTGTATTGATACTTACATGATTAAAATGATGACATTATGGGTTAGACACTTCTATACATTGAAGATCAATAATGAACCAATGGTGCCCCTTTCCCCTTCCCATTCCCTTTATTGTTAAATTGAAAATATAAATCTAATAAAAACAATGAGACAAAGAAATACTCAAATATGTTCTATGAACTTTATACTCGGGAGGGCAAGGACTACATTATGAGTTTAATTTCTATAGTGCTATTCTCTAATAGTAACTCACAAAGGGTTCCTAATGAAAATTACTCTCAATTATTTTACAGGCTGGATGGAATGGGAAAATGTATAATTTGCATTTATATGGAATCCTGGACACAAGGATATCAAAGCAATTTAAAAGCCCATTTGTGATAAATTACGTTAAGAAGCATGTCTTGGGTTAAAAAAAAACAGACAACAAAACACTGACAACACTTTATTTTGTTCAGTGTTTTCAAGCTTGCAAAGTATTCTTTCATATGTTATCTCATTAAATTTCCAAGACTTTGAAGCAGAACTGGTGTTGTCATCCCCATCTTAAAGATGAGGCCACCACGTCACAAACAGGTGACTGAGTTTGTCTAAAACCAAATTCTTCTGACTTCTGAATTTTACCATGTTAAACCTGTTTTAACACAAAACTAATTCTGAAAATATGCAACATAACTTTTGTCCACAACCAAGAGTTCAATGGTATCTCCCATATTTTGAAGTGTCCACAAGTATTTATTGAGCAGACTGTAAATCTCCCTGTGAGGAACTAAAAAAAGTTCACTGATAATTTATGGACTCATAGTCACAGCACATGACTTAGGATATAGATTGACCTGAAGTAGGGGAAAGGAAGGGATAAACACACCAACATACAACAAGGTAGCAAAGGTGCAGTAAGATACGTTCCTGGAAGAATAACACAGTCCTGGGACACTGAAAGGAGATGGTAACAGTGCAGCATGTAAAAGAGGCAAACGAGGCAGGTGGTATTTGATGTAGGCCTTGAATGGCAAATAAGCTTCTAGTCCAATGGTGGATTAGGCATATACACTAATCTCTCTACTCAAGCTGAAACCAGACGCTAAATTCATAACAGGGTTAAGAAAACAACGGTGGACCAGAGTTCAATGAATTTCTCTCTCTTTCCCCCTCCCTCCCTCTGAAAATCAATGGAAAACATATCCTGGTATGAGGATTAACAAACAAAAAACAAAATGCTGAGCTGTTTAAATATTACCTCATTTTTTGTTTAGCTTTTTCAAATATTTCCAAATTTTGAAGAGCATGCCTTTCTGGCCATTCCAGAGGATTGGTTTCCACTAGACTCGAAGAAATAGGTTCCACTGGACTGGTGTCTAAAGAGAGATACACATAAGCACTGGAAAGTCCTAACATGCAGAATTCTGCTACATGAAAATGTATCCATGCAGACATGGAGGGGGGAAGGGGGGAGTGTGTAGAGAGGCATGTTGGATTCATTGTACACTTACCTGCTACATTCAACAGGGCTATCACTCTGACAGCCTGAACTATGCAAAATACCATAGCAAAGTGTTTTGGAAATAAACAAACCTGTATTAAGCTTTATTTCTTTACTATCACCTCATAATAAAAGTACATCATTCAGGACCTATATCAAGTCTCTTGGCTCCTAATGAAGACTTGTGTAACTGTCCTAGTTATAGTTTTCTCTTCAAAATTCCTATTTACTTAGCCAACAAACATACAGCACTTACTTCATACAAGGCAACTTCCTAAGCCATTTACAAAGAATTAATTTAATCTTCAAAACAACCTATGTCATCCCTAATTTAAAAAGGTAAAGAAGTGAGGCTCAGAGTAGTTAGAAAACTTGCCCAAGGTCACAGAGCAAGCAAGCTGCAGAGCCAGGATTCAAGCTTCTTGCTCTCTCTCCAGAGCCTGTGCCATAACCAAGAAACTATGCTCTCTCTCTCACCGAACACATCCCCCAGTTACAGCTCTTGAACACAGCTCTAGAGAAAATATTTGTATTTTACTTTCCAAATAAATCAGAAGCCCACAGAAAGACTCAAAGTTCTACTTCTTTGTGTACCTCCAAGGAGTCAAACAGACAAAAGGCACTCAACAAGCATTACTGTTAACTTGGTTCTTCAGTCATTTTCTTATTAATCTATGGAATAAAAAAGATTCTCACAGAATAAAAACAAAAGTTGCCCTGTACATTTAAAATGCTAGGCAATCTTCAAATGCTTTCCTGTTACATCTTGAAAAGCTTTACTTATTCCAATTCATCACAACAGGAACCAGGAAAAGAGAGAGATATGCAAGTCAATATAGAAACAATTTCCTGCTCCCTCAGGAAAGTTTGGGGACTATTCCTGCTATCATGAGTGGCAAATATGGTGCAAGTTATTATATGTGGTTTTAACTATATTAAATTTCCTATGTAGGTTCTACTTTTCTCATCTTATGAAGACAGAGCTTAACAGAAATCCACCCATTCTAGCAGCTTAGTGAGAGTAGTAAGGATCACTTTAAAGCTTCTCCACTCTGCTCAAAAACAATTGTACTGAACATGCTTTCCAAAAGAATTGGAAAATGTTTAATGTTTAAATGATGAGAAATACAGCTCATTATGTATACACACACCCACACACACATACATATCCAGCAAGTCTTCACTTAACACCATCGATAAGTGCCACAACTTTACGTAAAATTACATAATGAAATCAACTTTCCCACAGGCTAACTCATAGAAACAAGTTTCTACGGCATCTCATCAATGTTCTAACAAAACGTTTGTTGAATGAAACGATGTTACCGGAGGACCTGCTGTACTTGTTTATACAAATACGTCACTATCTAAATTTGTAAGATGCATTTTAATTTGACCAATATATTTTATTAGTTTTAATAATAAGCAGTAACTGTCATAAACGCCACACAAAAGAGAACTAATTATTTAAAGTAACAAAAACTTACCATTTAACAGACTGGAGGTATTAATTTTCCCTGTTTTTCTCAGGACTGTTTTAGGAATAACAGCATCGAAATGATCTAAAAAGCACCGCCTGGTGAGTGTCAGCAGACTTTTAAGTTCATCAACAGAAACGACTTCGGGCCGCTCTGCCAACCTTCTCCTTTCTGTAAGGCAGCAGATCAACAGGGCTAACTATACCACTGTTTTTTAAAATCCTCTCAAAAGAGCATCTACTACTCACTTTATGGGAAACATTTTCAAAACTAAAACAAGTGAGTATATCCAGCAAAGCAACATTCCTGTGTAGGCCTGCTTTCATTTTAATCCCATTTGTAGATAATGGCAGAATGTGGAGTTATGTAAGAGAAACAAAAAAAGGAGTAATTTTTTAGCACTGAAAGGTGATAAACGGTAAAGCAAGTTTACCAAAGTTTTCAAAAACATCTTGCAGAGTCTTATGCTGATGTTTTTGTAAAAATAAAACCTGTAAAACAAGTTACAAGTTAAATGTGCTATCTTGGTTACTGCCACTTATATCTTTTCTTTCCCAAAACCTGAAATCACAGGAAAGCAGTAAGAAAAGACAAAAGAAGAAACGAATGGTAAAGAACAACAGTTTTCAGCACATCTTGGAGAGTAAGACGATGGAGTCGGCAAAGCAGAAAACGTGTCAACTTAGGTTCCCGCAGGGGCTCTACCCCCAAGGCATTCGGAAGGTGCTGGCGAGGTGCAGACAAGGCAGTAACCTGAGGAAAAGGAGATTCCAAAAGGAGAGGAAAGGAGCGGTCCCTAAGATGTCAGGAGGTCTACGGAGCAATCTGTCTACAATAAAGCAAAAGACAAAATACTCTGGGAAAAAATGAAGAGAAATAAAATGGAATTGCTACGTTTGAACATATGATGAATTTAACGATGGGTATGTGGCAGAAATATTGGAGCCTCTGGAAAACATAACAATATTTTCCTGTAAAGAATATGCAAATTAAAAATAAAGTGATTGTCAACCACAAGTAAAACAAAGATTATGCAAGAAAGAAGAGTTCACATATGACGTGGCTCAGCAGTCAACTTCTGCACATGGTTGTAGGAATATTAAAACCATTGATTTAACCAAAATTAGTGACTTCACTGTAAAAGGTGAGAAGAGAAAGTGAAGCTGATGTGGGAACACTAGTCTTTATCTCAGATGTTAAGATAATGCCTGAAATTGGTAAATCAAGAAATAACCACCTACACATGTTATTTAGAAAGCTGGAAGAAATGTCAGAAAAACTAGCTGGAAGAACTGAGGGTAGCTGCCTGTGAACAGAGACGAGACTGAAAGGTGGGGAGGGGAGGGAAAGGAAGGGCACTGCTGTTTCTCATATTAACTTTTCGAGTTCCATTTGAATTTTTAAGCTATATCCATATATTACTTTTATAAAAATATTTCATTCTTAAAACACTTCTGGACTAATAACATTTTCTTCTACAATAAATGGTAAATTAGAAATTCACAGAGAATCCAATTCAACAAACATTTATTGTGTACTGCCTGCAAAGCACTGTGCTGTGCCCTCAGGCACAGAGGATGAAAGCACATTCTCACTCCAGGTGAGGTCGGTACATAAACACCACAAGGGAACAGGCTGAGCAGGTAGTGGCCAGACTTGTGGTTCTACCTTAGACCATGAGCTTTATGAGAAATGCCTCCGTGAAATCCCACCTCACCAATGTGGATATTGGGAAGGTCATTCCAGTTCTCATCCAACGTAAGTAACACGTGGTTTCTGCACTCAAGAACACTAGTAATGATAACGTAATAGTAGTAATATATGCTGCTTTTATTACATCTTCTTAGTGAGAAAATAAAAAGCTGCCAGGAGCCATTCAAAAACAAAAGTTACCAATGATTTCTTTTCATCTGAAAGATGTACAATAAGTAATATACTTTTAGAAACTAGCCTCACATTTGTATTAACTCTAAAAACATACTTAGATCATGAGCCTGACCTATGCTTATTAAAACTGTCAATTACATATATATATATATATATATGTATGTGTGTGTGTATATATATGGCAACTGGAGAGCAGGGTAAGACTTCCTGTTAATCTTGATGACTGAGCAATAGAGAAAGAGTACATGGAGTTTAACGGGGTTATGAGCAGGATAATTTACTTGGTGAAAACAATCTCTACATAAATGAGTTTGCAAACAAGTGGCAGATAAAAACTTGGGAGAAAAAAAATGGACTAAAGTTGAAAAATAAATTAGCAAAAGGATGCTATTCCTAAAAATAGCCCCCAACTGGGGATCGAGCCCACAACCCTGCATGTGCCCTCACCGGGAATCGAACCCCGATCGCCTGGATCCTAGGTCGACACTCAACCGCTGAGCCACACAAGGCCAGGTTAAAATTACACATTTTAAATATCATCCTAAAAAATAGTATCAGATATAACTTTTAAAAATAAGAAAAATGAATTAAAATCAAGTATTCTAAAAAAGTAAACCCTAATAAGAATTTTATTTATTTTTGTGTTATCTTAAAAAACAAAGTGCCTCAGTAATGTGAGTACGTTCTCATGCAAACTTAATCCAGTTGCTCTTTTTGGTTCAGTACTAGGCAGAGGAAAGAGGAGGGGGAGATCAGGATAAGTTTATTCCATGTCTTAATAATTTTGAAAAGTGTTTTGGAACAACTTTTTGTTTTTCAGCAAAGTCTGCAGTCTTTGCATTGCTTCTGAATCGTTGATTTTCTTTCCAAAGAAAGCTGTGCCCATTACATTACTGAGTTTTCATCATGTATAAATTAATTAACAATATCAATTTAAGAACTTTTACATTCATATTTGACTTTTTTGAGAATCACTGAAATAGACACTCAGGTATTCTTACACTGGAAACTTCGTTTTACAGGCATTTTCCTCTGTCTTTTGAGAGAGAGGAATTTTGAACAGATGCATCTTTGTCCCCAAATTGTTAACCCAGCATTAATTCACTAGGCAGAAAATTGTTTGGTTCGGCAAGCATTTCTATCATAAATGGGTTAACTTAGTCATTAATCTTAATCAAGAGTTAATGCTTCAGACTGCAAACTGGCCATTTCCTGGATATACCCAGCGCTGGCGTCTCCAGCAGCGCCCAGCTCCAAGGCTTCCTTCCGCTTCAGGCCCCTGCCCGCCTCCGCCCCCTGCCTGGAGCTGGGGCCCCTTACAGCTGCTGCCTGTGCTACAGCTCAGCTGCTGGTGCACCGACATTCTCAGCATTGGTTTACCACTTATGCTTCCCCCGGCCCTCCACCGAGCTTCCAGTCACACCTGCAGGCAGCTATATAGTTTTAGCTGTTAGCAGTTCCCTTCCCAACTATGCAGGAGGGACAGTCCTACTGGGGTTACCTCTTCTTACTCAATGGAGAGATGCACCAGCTTCAAAGAGGTGCCGGTTCTTCCACTGGTAGTGTTTCTGGTCAGAAGGGTAAGGGAGAAAGATGAAGATGAAAGAGAGGGGAGATGTTGAAGGAAATGAATTTAAAAAGCTGCAGAAGGCTTATCATGGCAAGGAGTCAGGGCCTGCAAAGGAATTTAGCAGGGAAAGAACAAAGTAAAGAAGTGAATAATACTGCTGGTTGATGTTTGAAATAAAGGTTTTCCATCCACAAAAATACTAATATATCAGTTTTTGGGTTTTTTTCTTGGATTTAACATGTACTACTTTTTATTGAAACTGATTTGTCTTTTTAATTATATTTTCCTTGAGCTAATAATATCAGTTTCATAGTTTAAAAATCAATGGCTGGAGGAGTTCAAGACTACACAATTACCCCAGATTTGTACAACTGAAAAAGAAGTTAATTCTTAAGTGAATAACTGAGACCAAGTATTCTAAAATTATTTTCTATTGACTAAAACAGCTATTTAATTTAAAGTATTTTTAAAGGGCTCTAAAAAATTACAGTTTTTATTTTACAATGTATCTACTTAATTCTAATATAATTTCTTCTATATGTAACTAGTGAGGTCTCACAATTTGATTTCATTTCTTAGAAATTCTGCCAATTAATTACCTTAAAATAAGTTCATATTAGGTACTAATGAATGCTTATTTATAAAAAAATGTTAAGAATGATAACCAAGTTAACATATAGTAATAGAGAAGAAACCTTAAACTATGACCCTTGAAAAGGTTTTAATTTCTTGAATAAGGAAAAGTCCATAATGCCAACTTCACCCAGTATGTGATATATGCTTAATTATTATTGGTAGTTGTGATTAAAGTATAAGAACCAATGCTCAAATTAACATATTAATTTCTCTGAACTTGTATTTTCTCCTTTTTGCAGTCTCTCTCCTCCTGTGACAGTTAAAAATATATAGAGACATTTTAGAAAGAGCTCTATATTAACCAGAATAAAATTTAGGTACGTTTTCCAGCATACAGTTAAAAATATTAAAATACAAAATTTCCCTGGAGAAATATTTCTATAAATATTAACAGTGATGTACAAATAAATAGGAACATTTTGAATGTGGTAGAAAAAAGGTTGCAGGCTTTTTCTACTCTACATCACCTGCACAAGAAAAAGAATAGTTCTACAAATGAGTGTCATACCTAAGACAAAGTATATAAGAGAAAGTGAGGAAATAACAACAGTCAACATTCTTACAGTAGAAGAAAATGTACAGAGTGTTACTTACTCAGACATTCTTTCAAAGCCAAAGCTTGAACATTAGCTAACTGCTTCTCTCTCTGTATAAGCTGCTCCCCAGAAAAATGTGGAAGTGACAAGAAGTCAAAAGGAAAGCCTGAGGTACAGAAAAAAGTCAGCATTAAAGATATTCCATGACAACAATTAAGATTCAGTTCCCAGTTAAGGTGTTATTATATAATTTAAAAAGTAAACATCAATTACTCATCTCTTGATCTTGCATATTTCAAATTAAATAACAACTAAGCAGCAAAAAGTAAACATACTAAATTACTGTGCATTTTAAACTTTGACCTGCTTCTTAAACTGAGGGAATTTAGGTAGCAGAGTAGAATTCCCGCATCACATTTTCTTCTACAAGCTCAGCTACTGACACACACAAGGGGGTGGGAGAAGATGAAGGTAGTAAAGAGGGTGAAACATATGCTGAAGAAAGGAGACTAGACTCTGGGTGGTGAGCACACGATGGAGTATACAGATATCGTATTATAAAGTTACACACCTGAAACTTACACAATGTTATTAACCAATGTTACCCCCAATAAATTTAATTAAAATTTAAAAATGATAATTAAAAGAATAAACTCCTAGACAAAACACAGATGGAGTTGGGTAAGTCTCTAAAGATGGCCCCCTATGAACCACACGTCCTGCTATTCGCCATTGCGTAGTCCACAATGAGTCCTGGCCCTGCGAAACCAATAAAGTATGGTCAAAGTGACAGTGAATGATCTCTAGGCTAGGTCATAGAAAGCCTTGAGGCTTCTTAGAACAGCTGCTCTAAGAGAAGTTAGTGAGCATATAAAAAATCAGACTACCCTGCGACGATGGTGTTGCAAGATAGCCCAAGTTGGCCATGAGGAAAGGACACATGAAGAGAAGTCAGCTCTCATCAGTTCCAGCCATCCCAACCCAGGTGCTGAACATGTGGGTGAAGAAGCCATATTCTACACAGAGCCCTGTTAAGTCTTCAAATGACAGGAGTCCCAGCTGTGTGTCTGCAATCATATGTGGGACTTTAATACAGAAACATCCAGCTGTGCCCAGTCAACAGGGCTATGAGATATAGTAATAAATAGTCATTTTAAAGCTAAACCTGGGTGGTTTGTCACATAGTAATAGATAACCAAAATCTAGAGCTTGAAGAGAAAAGAAAAGGTGAGCAATAAAACAGAATAAGATGCTTGAGAAAAAGTAAATGAAAATGAGAAATTATAGAAAAATAGTATGTGTTTAAAATGGACTATAACTGAAAATTTCCTATTTGGAATCGAGGGCTAACCTAGTAAATTTTACTGGGTATAATGTAAAAGGGGTTAATTCTCTGTATTCTAAATTGTTCAAACACGTTATACTATGTTTAAAATAAAAGGTAAATTTACTGAAAGTGAAATGGAGTTTGGGGAAAATAAGTTCATTAAAAACCACGTAAGTTAATTACATATACAAACAAATGTAAAAATGTGTTCCACTAAAATTAGCACTTACTCAGTTGGGTTTCTTCTGTCCTTGCCTTCATCTTTCCATGAATGAAACTGAGGGCAAATGAGCCATTGATCTGGTTGGCTGAGTGAATCAGTGTGGCTTTGCATTTTCTACTGTCATCACCTTGTAACAAGAGATAATAGCTAGAACACTCTCCTTTCACTTCAACATCTGGAACTAAGCAAAAACAATGATCTTGTTAAGTATGTGAAAATTCAGCAACATGGCAGAATCATACACTGGACCCATAGAATATAATGACATCTCTGTTATTTTAAAACAAACTGTTACCCAATATATTTGGGGCTAGCAATTGTTCACTGAACTGAGAAAGCTGTTAAAATTAGAGAATCAATAAAATTAAATTAAAATCAGAGAATCATAAAAAAGATACAAAGCATAAACATTTTAATTTAAATTAAAACTGTGTGCTCATTTATTAACTTTTGATGTAGCTCATTAAGAGTTCCGTGATACTTTTCTTATATATCCATACCCATAACGTATCAACTACTATTTCCACTTCCATTTCTTTAAAGGGGAATAAACTGACCCCTGCAGGCACCCACAACTCAACTGTTGGGAGCAGAAGTGTACAGATGTACATAAGAGTAGCTTTTTGCTCCTTGCAGTGGGCACCCATAATGTAATTTTTACAGAGGGAATGGAGAACATTCATTAATCTGGCAAGCCAGTTACATGAAGGTCAGTTAAGACAGCTTCTAGTATATTTTAAAAACAAATCAGCTCATGGTTATAGTGAAGGTCAAAGAAAAACTGTGAAGAGCCTTTGAGAGTAAAAATAGAAGCAGAGTCCTTTCTATTGAAGATGGTGAATTGGACATAAGCATTTATTTTCACTATCTCCTGAAATTCCATGAAATGAGAATAAAGGGAATTTTAAAATAGCATAAATCTCCAAGGACTAATATCTGAGAGAAGAGAACAGTGACTAAACTTTGAAAGCATGAAAGCAGATGAGCGACTGGTAACAGGCCTCGTGCTCTCAATTGCTAAGGAAGCTGAGAAAAACAGAGAAAACCTTAGAGGCAAAACAGTTTATACTACAACCCGGCAAGAGACTCTGGATGGTGGCCCCAGAACGAAGCAAAACGAAGGAGAAATAAAAAGACAGGTTGAAAGTCTGTTTGAGAAGCAATGTGGCTTCCAGATTCCTCCTTACCCTACGCAGGTAAATGACTGTCCCTTCTCTAGCCCAGACGACTAGCGGTTTATTCTCTGGAGAAAGTCTAACAAGATGTCTCTGGCCTAGGAGACGTAATAAACACAGCTTGGGGTCGGAGCTGACTACCAGTGGATTAAGTGAATGCTTCTCTACAGAACACTGAGGCCCTTTTCCCTTCGTCTACATTAACTTCCAGAATTTTGGAAGCCAGATAGCAGAACTGAGACTTCTTTCAGAAATGTGGTCAGTGTAGAGGACAGACTAAAGAATCCGGTATCGTGGGGTCACCTAATGTAGTGTCACAGTGAGATCACCCTAGAACAGGGGAAGGGAAACTTTTTCCTGCCAAGGGCCATTTGGATATTAATAACATCATTAGCAGGCCATACAAATTATCAACTTAAAAATTAGCTATGAGCTCTAGCCAGTTTGGCTCAGTGGTTAGAGTGTCGACCTGCGGATTGAAGGGTACTGGGTTCAATTCTGGACAAGGGCACATACTTTGGTTGCAGGCTGGGTCCCTAGCCCCAGTCCGGGTGCATACGGGAGGCAACCAATGTGTCTCTCTCACATTGATGTTTCTCTCTCCTCCCTCCTCCCTCCCTTCCATTCTCTCTAAAAATCAATGGAAAAAAATATCCTCCAAGGATTAAAAAAAAAAAAAGAAATCAAGAGTGAGAATGGTACTAGAATTCTAAACAGCACCGAAACTGGAAGACAATGGAGCAATGCCTTCAGAATTCTTACGTATACTAAGAAAAAAATACTACTGTAAGCTTATTACAATAGTTTATTTCACAGGTAAGAGTTACTGTGGTTTAAAGCCTAATGCCCAAAACAATTACGCAGTACAAAAAAATTTGCAATTAGCTTGCAATAGCAACGTTAATCCTATTCATAAACATCAGTCTTAGAAAAGGAATTTAGAGAAAGGTTATTGAAAAGGAGAAACACCTGTTAGCAGTTGTAATTGAAACTAAGGTTTGCTAAGAGTTACAGTGACCTTAATTCATTTACCAATTTAGCACTTTGACAACTCAAATTTTGTATCTCTTCAATCCATGACAATCCTTTTCACATTTATTTAAATCCCATCACCTTTATTAGAACTTTAATCACTGAAGCCTGTAATTACAACAATCTTATTTTCCTTCAAAGAAAAATGTTTATTTTACAGAATTCCCCTAACCATAATGACTATGCAGTCATTTAAAAAACACTGTTCCAGATCTGGCAGGTGTTAATTCAAGAATTATTCAATAACTTTTATGTAAATACAGAGTAACAAATTTATAAAATTAGCATAGTTATTCAATTCTCATAGTTTTTCCTGAAGAAATAAGGGGAAGTGACTATAGCAGAAAATTCCTCTCTATTTTCATGTTATTTTTACACTATCAACTTCTAAGAGATTGATTAGTTTGCATGTCCCCTCTCCACCAAAACCAAGCATCCATTTGGGTCTACTATATAGGCAAGATGGGAAAAGCAGAAATTACAAGTTTCCTTTAGTTGTATCAAATTTTATAATCTATAAACTATCATGAAAGACTGTGTCATTATTAGTTTCATTAACAAACAAGATTTTAGTATAATAAAAACCGAATCATATTTTATATCAATACATTTCTTGGCAGTTCTTAAAACCCTGTAGCAACCCCTTCTTTTTTATAACAGTTCAACAATATAAAAACAAAACCATATTAGTGTAAAGGGGAAATAATATTTCAAATGATATAATGAAAAATATACCAGGGTAATTCGGGAAACAGGATATTCTGGTTAAGTGAATATTCTGACTTACTGAAAAGTAAATAATATACCCAATTATTTTGATAATGATGATAAATACTAAACAATAAAATAAACTATAATCCTCAAGAAAGGCATTTTAGGAGGCTACACACTTTCCAATGATATCATCCTTCAAGCAATTCTAGACCCAGCTTTTGAAATGGCCCTTAGGATCAGCTGAAGAGGCACAAGATAAAAAATAAAAAAAATAAAAAATCAATATACTTACTTTACATTCATAAAGTATTTCCAAAAAATGTATTATCTAGCTTCATCCCCCATCTTATTTGTCAGACTAAGCTTCAACAATTTAGTGCAAAACTTAGCTGCCACCACGACTGTCCAAGAAAATTCCCTGCCCCAATTCTACAAAGAATCTAAAATGGTTCAAGAAATGATAGTACTGCTGAACAGGTGTATGAAGCCTCCTACTGTGAAGATTACAAAAATGCAGGATTTATAAATTCCACCATGACTATTTTAAACAAGTAAATAACATTAGAATCCTAAATTGTATACATTCCCTCTTTGTTACAACCTAGTAAAATATGCAATTTGAAAGGTATACAGTGAATAGAGGGGCTACTCAGACTATTACTCCAAGGCCTTACTCATCCTCACAGACAACAATGCTCTCTTTATGGTTCCACAGACACAGAAGGCATTGAAAACAGAGTAACAAAAAGTGACTGCAGAGTTTACAAAGTATTTACTTTCACTACCAATGTGATTCAAAGGAGTTTGTGAGATACACTAAGCAAGCACTATCCTCATTCTCTAGCCCAGGAATTGGAAGCCTAACAGGGATTCTTAACCCTTTTTCTGCTTCAAGGTGTCTGAAAGGCTCTTCAGCAACAGTGGCTCACTAGCCTCCGGCTAAAGACAGCACACCTGGGACAGAGGTTCTCCAAGCCTGGATGCACACTTGAAACACTTGGGTGCTATTACAAACTGTTGAGGCCCTGGTTCCCCCAGATTTAACTGTTCTCAGGTAGGGCCCAGCTTGACTTTCTTTCTTGTTTTTGTTTTTTTTAATTTTTAATAACTGTCACAGTGATTCTAACCTGGTCTGGTGCTAAAAATCACCTGCATTTAGGTCTAAGGGCCTTCAGGTGATTCTTACCCACCCCCCCAAAAAAGTTTTAATGAGATATAACTTACATATATATGTACACATATACATACATATATCAAAGCCTAAATTAGATTAATTTAAGGGAATCATATAATTGTGCATCCATTTCTATAATCCAGTAATGGAAAACTTCCATTATCTCTGCACAGGCAGTCTCCTCTCCTACTCATGGCCTCAGGCAACAACTGAGCCCCAATTTCCTCACCTGTGAAATGGGTACAAAATAATTCTTTAGGGCTATTATAAAAATTAAATGAATCAATATTTCTAAAGTACTTAGAACACTGCATAGCATATAATGAAGATGTTAAATAAGTTCTACAAACTCCTTCCAAAAATTGTCATTACAACTGTTTTTTCAATATACCATATAATAAATTAAGTACTTCATTTTTACAAATTTTATTCCTAAAATGTGTCTAAAAACACCCATGTTCAATATAATTAGCTATGAATTAACCCAAAGTTCTGCCTTAGATCACTGATATTTTTAGAATGAATAAGGCTATATATACTTTGTTACAGTAGGTTGTTAGGGATGATAAAAAATTCTTAAAATGATTGGGGTCCTTCTTAATCAGTGGTAATACAATTTTCCCATAGATAAAAATTCTCTCCATTGAAAATTTGATAGATATTGTATCTATGTTGTACCACTAAAACAATGTAAAGATTTCCTACTTACCACTGATTGTCTTGGGCTTTTTAGCTATGCATTCCTTCCATTTTCTCGAACTGAGTTGGTTGGGAGGCGGAATAAGTATGTTACTAACAGTACATGGCAATACGAAAAGTGCACCAACCTATTGAAAACAGAACATACCTTTAATGACTGAACACTGAGACTAATTCTTAAATAGTATCATGTGACAATTTTCCTCTCATATTTCGCCTATATAAAAGGTATTTCATAATGCTCTCTCCCAGTAATTCCACTATAAAAACTAAAAAACTAAAACTATGCTCCACCTCCACCTCATCCCCCAAAAAAGCCAAAGACTAGATAACAAAAACAGAGAAGGATCTTCAGAGCTATAGGCATCCCTTTCCCACTGGGTTATAAATCTCTAAAAACTTTGCTATTCCCGTATTTGCTTCACGTTCAGGTTATGGGTGTAATTTCTTCCTATATCTGCAAACTAATGAGAGGCCAGGAATGCTATCATCAAAAGATTTTGTCATGCTCAGCCGTACTTTTATAACTGTTTGACTGGATGGATTATTGTTCTGGCTTCAAGATTAGAATAATTTGGAAGGCAATTTCAAAACTTCTGTTCCTAGAAATTAGATTTAATACTAATAGGTACAAAATGCAGAAAACCATGAATCACATCCAGGAAACACACAGCTGCTTCTCACTGATTTATAAGCAAACTCAACTTATTCATCTTTGTATCCCCAGGTCTAGGTGTACAGATGTTTATTAAATATTTGTTTCCAAAACCCACCATAATACGTTTAGGTAAATTCTCAGTTTGATTAAGTACTGAATAAACAAATGGCAACTCTGAAAGTGGTATTTTGCCAGTTATTTTAGAATGCAAGCTACAACAGTCGCCACATTCCAATAAATATCTTTTTTTAACTCTGGGGAAATTTAGTCTCAAATCTAATGTAAAATCACTTTTAATTGTCTTACGTAGATGGATGGATTACAAAAGATGTGATACTCAAATAATGTATTAATGTGCTACTTTTATTGCTACTTATTACTTTTCCTTATACATTATTAATTAGCAGACATAAAAATAAGTGTATTAAAAGAAAAATAAGAAAGGTAAATTAAATATGCTTATTTTCCTTTATTATTGTAGTCATGCCCTTTTTTATCTTAAGTCAAATGTATTTTACAGTCAAGAATTAGACATTAAAAATATTTAGCAATGGAAAATAATCATTAAGTGCAATTTTCTAAATACTAAATCCTAGTTCTTCATTCTTGCATAAATAAGACTTCATAGTCCAAAATGCATGGCAAAACTGCATGACCCACAGGGTAGACACAGCTGTGATGTGAGCATGCTAGATCAGGGCCCAGTTATACTTGACAATTACATAATCGTTATAGTTATAGCTTAACAATTTAGAGATGTTAAACGAAGTTCAATGCATAACATATAGCCTGATATAAATGTGTCCGGACCCACCAGCCAAAGAAGTGGCCACGTTTTTGAGACAGCCTATTTTTTTTATTAAACATTTGTTACAAATACAAAAGACATTTCTAAATCCAGCCACGAACCTTATTTTTGAAAATCTCTTCTAAAAAAACAAAATGTCATTTCATGTCTGCAGAGGACTTTGGAGTTATTATGAGAAATTCAAAGTGTCTTAATATAAATTAGGACCAAAATCATGTTACATTAAAGAAACCAAATCACGCAAAAACAGAGTCACAAACTACAGTCCCTTTTCTCACATATCCTTAAATATTGTTAAAAAACAGACAAACAAAACACCTTCTCTACCTTGCCACGCAGAGAAGAAACCTGCTCCAACAATAACATGGAGTTCTTCTTGGTACTGTTTTTTGTTAGCCCTCTATACTAAGGAGTTAAAGAAATGATGGTAACCGTGAAACAATCCTAATACCTAACACAAGTTTGATTCTCTAATTCACAAGGTGCTTGAATTCATTTATTGAAAATTTTAACTGTGGGAATTCACAATTACTCCTTTCCTCAAGAATAATTATTTTTCAGATTATGAAAATATACCCAGAAATAGTGATACTGTGAATTGGATTACTGTAAACTACAGTAACTTCTCAACAAAACTGTAACTTCTCAACAAAAATTCAAGAACACTATGTTAGCGTTCCCTTTTCAGCCAGCAATTTCTTTTTATGCAAAGTTTCCAGTTCTTAGGTGTATTTCTAAAACTTATTACATTTCTTAAGAGAATTTAAAATATGTTGAATATCTGCAGATATAAATGATCACATTCATATTTACTGAAGCATATAAACAGATATAATAGACTGGTGCCTACCCATCCCACTGATGGCAAGAGAAACAACTGAACATTTCAGGAATATGTAAATTACTGTTTTTCTCCACATACTCCTAACATTTCTCCCTCCTCCCAACCCCATAAGCAATAAGTAGCAATTAGGAAGTCTTCTGCCTCTTCGAGAAGTATAAACACAGTACTTGAGGAATGAATTTTCTTGCAAGTTGTAAAACTTCTCTTAAACCAAGGCAGCCCCAGCTGGTTTGGCTCAGTGGTTAGTGTCGGCCCTCCAACTAAAGGGTCCCCAGTTTGACACCAGCCAAGGGTACGTACCTCAGTTGCAGGCTCAATCCCTGGCCCCGGGGTGCATGTAGGAGGCAACCGATCGGTTATGTCTCTCTCACATTGATGTTTCTCTCTGTCTCTCTCTCTCCCTACCACTCTCTCTGAAAAGCAATGGAAAAAATATACTCTGGTGAGGATTAAAAAAACAAACAATGGCAACAAAAAGTATACTGAATATTATTCTTATGTAAACAGCATCCAAATATGGAGTGTTATGAGGAAACACTACCCAACACAGAAAATGTGATCTAAAATGAAGATGTAAATGAAAGGATACAACTCAAATTCAATGTCCGACATATAGCAGGAGGGTAGATCTGATAATTTTATCATCTGCACAAATTCTAAAGCAGGGCCATAATAATGGAAAACCTAGAAAGAAATTAAAATTATACAATATTTTAAACGTTATAAAGTGAAAGTGAACAAATTAGTGATTAAGGTTTAAAACTTTAAAATGAATCTTAAAAAGGAGATATTTACACATAATGCCAAGCACACATTTAACCCTCAAAAGCACACAAGGATTTCTTCCATATAAGAGTAGAAAGAGTAGAAAGAGACATGGAGATTTCTTAGGACGTAGAAAGAGTTTTACCAGGGAGAAAATGAGTATTATAGAAAGAGGCAAGCAACAAAGGACAAGAGTTCTCAATCTTTCCTGTGCATCTTCAGCAAGATAGACAGACAAATGGCCCAAGAGACTAGGGTATTTAAAAAAAAAAAAAAAAATTAAGAGACTGCAAGGCTGAGAAAGCAAAAGAAAAGATACTCAGGATAAATTCAGGTTGAGTGGTATGCTGAGATTTTTTTAAAAATCCTTGGAGGAAATACCGAAAAAATTAAAATTAAAGTAAGAACTAGTGAAGCCAAAGTGCTAGTTAACAAAGAAGTTCCACTCGAGAAATAAAATTGCAGTATTTCTTTGGGTAGAGCCAACAATTAAATTGAGAGTGAGCTAATGAAGAACAAGTATTTCAAGAGATGGGGCTAGAGTGCTTCACAGGAAGGCAAAGAAAAGCAAACTACCTTGAGGAACTGACACAAAGTTTTAAACTTGCAGAAAGATGAGTAATTTCACCACGTAAGATCATGTGTGAGTGTATCTGTATACATATATAGTGTATATACACATACATACACAGCGTGCACGTGTGTGTATAGACTGAGAGACTTGCTTTTATCAAAGAGGTTGTACCCTAGGACTCTCTTCAATTGCATGCTAAAATCAGATCACTATTCACAAGTAAATGGTGCGCTACCAAAGGCGAGAGGTTGAGATCATCAATCTTTAGAAAATAATTTAACATTCCTGTGAAGGATGGCCATGGCAAGCTAATCAATTCTAAACAACTACTGGGAAATGCGTTTCCATCAGAAACAGGCCCTTTTTGTCTTACCCTCTGAACAGAAAAGAATGCCCATGGTCCTGACACCATGATAACTCCATGACTTATATTTTGCACATTCTTGAATTTAGAATTAGTGAACTTCTAAAGTGCTCTACACTTTATTTTTCCAATGTAAAAAAAAGCGAATTAAATCCTCTTTAATTATTATACTTTATTATTATTTGCATTTTAAGAAAAAAATCTACGGACACATGGGACAAGAACTACCTTTTTAAACAGTAAATGAAGCCCACGTCCAGTACCCATCAGAGGCTCTTTTCTCCCTCACTGAAGCCCCACGATAACTGTAAGATAAGTGTGTTATTATTGGCTCCACTTCACAAATGGGTTAATCAATCTACCCAAGGTTATAAGAGCTCATAGGTGACAGAGTTAAGTTTCAAACCCAGGTCTACTAACATCAAAGCCCTTCCTTTCCACTGCATCACACTCTCTCCAAACTTCGTCTTAGAAAGGTCATATAGTAAAGTCTATGCCAAAGGTAGTCTCAGGTCTATAGTGATCTAAAGTCAGGACCATTTTTTTTAATCTAAAACAATGATAGTTTTTCCAACATTTAATATGATAACACAGTATAATTTAATCACTTAATTATAATTATAATAAAAATTAGGCAAGTGAGCACACTGAAGCACACATATTAGTAAATGTGAATTCATGATTCAAACTTATCTCATAAGGACAAAAATAAGCATGAATGGATAATTGCAAAAATGAGTAAACACAGATTACCTTTGGCAAACAAGTCTTATCCTTTGATGGTATTATCTTTTTGTCAAGAAAGCAAGTATTTAAATTAGTCGTACTAAAACTCGTAGGTGTGACTCCCTTTAAACAGAATTCAGGAAAACTAATTCCACATCCAAACTGAAAAGAAACCAAGAGAACACAGTTACAGACATCAAGAATAAAGTTACAAAGATTAATACATCTTAGTGCAATGTAAAAGTTGGGAGGAAAACCCTATGTAAATTTATTTCCCTTTCCTCAGCTCACAGTGTGGTTCTTCCGTTTATGTACACATACTAATTATTTCAACTTGCACATGAATTTTTCATGAAAAGCTCTCCTTGGCCCTTCACCAGCCTGCAAAAGTATATTAAGCTCATTCTATGCAGCCACAGAGCCAAACAACCTTTGCATATACTTGTTCAATATCTGGCTTCCTACCAGTCTGGAAGTTCTGCAAAAATAGAATTTGTTCATTGCAGCAACAGAGGCTGTTGATGAAAAGATCAATTCCTGCAGAAGTAGTTATAGCAGGGGTGCTAATAATAGCAAGGGTAATAACAATGATTGCTAATACTTACGAGTGGTTACTTTGTACTCTAAATAATTCTCATAAAAATCTGTGAGCTAGAAACTATTATTACTCCTATCTTACAAATGAAGACAACTATTACACCAAAAGGCTAAATATTACCTAACATGTCACACAAAACTACCAAGAAATAGAGTTGGGATTTGAATGCAGGGACTCTAACTATAGAATCTATGTTCCAATCACTAAAATGCCTCTACACTAAAAGCATTCTCCACCAAAACAACAACAAAAAAGTGATTTCAAGTTTTAAGTGCATCCTGTGGAGAAATGGGCATTTAATAATAAAAAAGAATCAGATGAAAATAACTGGCCATATAAAAACATGCAGTTTCAAAAAATGTATACAAAAGTCATTCTCCTAGCTAACCATATCCTGCACACTTTCAGGTGGCTATATGGTTTGTTTGCATTAAAACCACTGCAGAAAGGTTTGCCTGCAGATTTTACCTTTCCAAGTTTAAGATGAAACAGCATTCAAACCAATAAGAGGGACCCAGCCATATAAATTTCTGTTGTCTTATTAGAGGTTGTATTACACCATTATTAAGGGTGAACTGAAAAGGGGGAAAAAGGCTAGTAATTAGTGCAATAAACCTTTACTGGGACACAAAGCCTACTCATGCTCCCACGTCACCCTGGACAAATATTAAGAAACTTGGTTTTAGTTTTGTCTATATACAAAAATACATGAAATACTAGAAACACTTCAACAGGACACAATTTATAAAAAACACCAAACATATTCATAGTAAGAAATGACAAACAGAATTGGAACCTCAGAAAAATGGAAGATTAGAGCGATCCAACTAATCAAATACGCTCAATTTGTAGTTAAGAAATCTGGGGTTTAGCAAGGTTTAAAAAAATCGCTCAAAATCAGAAAAGTGGTTAGTAGAGGGCAGAGACTACCTAAACTGGTATTATAGGTAAGAGATTATATTCTAAGCAGTTTTCCTATGTATGTGATAAAATAAAGAAGCTTAGGTAAACAACATCAAGTCAACTAATGTCAAACTCTGTATTTTAAAAAAATATTACATTCTAGAACTGTAGTGTCCAAAACATAATCACAGTGATTACTTACATTTAAATTAATTAAAATAAATTTAAAAATTCAGTGCTTGGGTTGAATAGTCACATATAAAGTGCTCCGCAGCAATGAGGCTAGTAGACTACTGCATAAGCACAGATAGAGGACTTCTCCCTTACTGCAAAGTTCTACTCACAGTGCTATTCTAGAATGTCTTTATAAGGTACACTTCCACTAAGATTCACTTAAACTATCTGTGTTATGAATGAAGTTGAAAGGACTGCTTTGCAATCTATGATCACTGAAAAATCCACTTACCTTTCTTTCCCATATCTGAATCTTTCCCCTCCATAATTCCTTTGAGTCAACAGCACTTCCGAGATCTTCTAAAGATACGACATTAGCAGAAAGGTATTCTGCAATTTTCTGACAATTTCTATAAATGGAAAGTCATGATAATTAAATATTGGGTTTTATATTTTACTAAGATTTAATGGTTATAGTTAAGTACAAACCTAACAGGCAAAAATGCAAATTCATCTCTCTGCTTTTATCTACTTTTTAAAATATAGAACACCCATTAAATGAGCCTCTAAGTGAGTTGCTATCACATGTTCCTTCAATTCTAACATTCCCATGAATTCATTACCTTTATTAATACAGATAAAGAAACAGACTTTACTCTTACTATGTATTGGCTTAAATATATCAGATGTACACACACACACAGCCTCAATGCTGATTCCTTATCTTAAAAAAAAAAGGCTGATCTCCTAAATTGTTCCCATATCCACTTATCACAGACCATCATGACTACTGCCATTCCTGTTTCTCCCTCACTTCAATGAAAAAGATCTAATCTTACTTTCTTAACTCACCAGCATCTATTGCTGTGCTTGGCATAAAGTGCTTAGTAAACACTTGTTAAATGAAAACAATCATGAAGTTAATAAATCTAGTTTGAATCCTTTTTAAGGATCAAACTGTAATAGAAACTGGTGCTGACTAAAAATGGAATAAAACACAACAGTATGCATTTATTTCTACATTGGCACAGAAAGCAAAAAACAAATATGATATTATAAATGCAGTGTATCCACAGTATTTATCACGATGCTCAATGGACAATCCAAGCCTACTTAAAGCACACTGTGTGCCCAGCTGGCATAGCTCATTAACTGAGCATCAACCTAGGATCCAGGAGATCGCAGTTCAATTCCTGGTCAGGACACATGCCCAGGTTTCAGGCTAGATCCCCAGTCAGGGTGGTGCAGGAGGCAGCCAATCAATGACTCTCTCATCTTTGATGTTTCTTATCTCTCTCTCTCTCTCCCTTCCTCTCTCGGAAGTCAATAAAGACATATTAAAACAAAACAAAAAAACACACTGTGTTTGGGAAATTAATGCAAACATGTATATTTGCATTGACAACATTTACTAAAAACTTAAACATCTCAGAAATACAAGTATAAAATAAGAAAAATCTAGATTCTTCTCAATTAATCTCTAAGCACAGTATGGATAAAACTATTTTGTTACATTAAAATTTTTTCAAATGCTGAGTCTATTAAAACAGGATAGCATATCAACTGTAAAAAGACAGCAAAGACAGTAATCAAATGAACAAAGATGCTTACATCTCACAATGATTTCCTGCTATAGTAATTTTTGCTGAATACCATTCTTTCAAATGTTTTAATGCTCCAACAGTAGGCAAACAGTCTTTCAATTTAGGAGGATCTTTGTCAGAGGGCAACAGTATTATATCTATCATTGCTCTACCTAGAAAGGGAAAAAGGCATTTTGGGAATTTAAAAAAATGTTAGGTCTGAACTGTCTCAAAATAGTACCCTGAACAATTGAATATTATGTTTATCCAGAAGATCAAGGAGAATTTTAACTTTAATTTCTGAAATTCTTTAAAACAATATACATCTTTAGGAGCTCAAAATTTTTAAATGTTCATCATTTGATTTAAAGCAACATTATCTTAAAAATAGTTACCATATGCCAGAAAACAATGAATTACATCATAATTACTTTTCAATTATGTACCAGTGGTTAATTATACATATTGCTCTTGAGATCATTAATACTACTGTGCTGAACAGAGAAAAAAAATCCTGTGTAATTTTATTATATTTTTCTATTCTTAACTGTGTTATACAAAAGGGAACGAATTAATATAAAATTGTAATGTTCAAATAAATTCTCTCTTTAAAAAAAGCAAAAACACTCAGAAACCTCAATTATACTGACATCATTGGTCGCTGAGAAAGGATAACTTCAGGAAACTTTAAATTTTATAAAATTATGAACTTACTGAAGAACCTGGACAATCAAAATGAAATAGGAGCTAAATAAAAATTTGATAATGGAAGTATTATAATTTTCCAAAAGAGCAACTCTAGCCCGGCCAGGCATGGCTCAGCGGTTGAGCTTTGACCTAGGATCCAGGCGATCAGGGTTCGATTCCCGGTCAGGGCACATGCCCGGGTTGTGGGCTCGATCAATGACTCTCTCATCATTGATGTTTCTGTCTCTCTCTCTCCCCCTCCTTTCCTCTCTCTGAAATCAATAAAGATCTATTAAAAAAAAAAGAATATCAAAAGAGCAACTCTATATTTCAGTATATATTTTGAACTTGATGTATTTCATTTTTTTTTTAATTGATATATTTTTAATATATGTATTCAGTTATTTCCATGTAGGATTTTTTACACTAAAATATGATCTTGAATAGAAAGATCAGACTGTGATCTATAAAATCCATGTACTTGCATAGGCTTTACTCATCACTGTATATTCAGCTCCTAGTACAATGCTTGACATATAATAGACACAACAAAGAGCTTAATAAATGACTTCAATAATGAAAACACTCAAAGAAAGCTCTTTGAAAGTGTCTTTGTGGATGCAAATTATACCAAGCTTTAGATGCCAAGTACTTGCTTAACACAAAGAAAGATGAACTTAAGACAAAAACAATTTAAGACTAGTATGATGCAGTCTTCATAAAATACACTTCCTGTTAGAGGAGAAAAAAATAGATTCTGTAAAAAATTGCTGAATAAGGGGCTTCTTTTACTGCATAACTTTATATTTGATAATGTATATAGTGACTTCACAGCATAAAAGAATGTTATCAAATTATCTAGGTGAAATAGCTCTTCCAGGAGTTATGGGACTAGTGTTCTATAGGACATACTCTGTATAACACTGGTATGTAGTGGAAAGACTTCAGTAATAACTAAATAAGGAAACAGATGAGTATTTAATTTTCTAAGTTCCAATTTTTGTCTCACTAAATAAAAACAAGAGAACTGTAATGTCTCCAGAATATTAAAGCAGTGAACTACAGTTTGTGTCAACTCCAATTAAGAATTTATTTTTCACTTTGAATTTCAAAGTTAAAAGTGACAACCCAAAGATAAAGACTAAATTTATCACTCACTCACAGGAAGTGTAAGATAAGATACAAATTATTGAAAGCAGTCATAAACATTACCAGGAGCAGGAAGTTTGTCTGATAACTGATGCAAATTTTCTGCAGATTCTTCGTATAAACTAAAATAAAAGGGTAAGTTAGAAAAAAACAAAAACACATACACATTACAGATCATCATAAAGGTAATCCTAATGGATCTATGTGCCAGACACTGTAAGGTATGTTGGAAGCACTATTTCATTTGATTCTCATGGCAATCCCATGATGTACTACGATAATACTATTGTAGTCCTCAATTTACAGAATTTTCCTAAAGTTACATAATTAATAGGTGTGGGAGACAGGATGCAAATCCTGACTTCAATTTCTCAGCCATAACCCAAAACAAACAATAATATATATAACCTCCTTAAATTATACTTGCATATTAAATATAAATCATAACTAATACACCAAGCATTTTTCTCCTAAAAGTAAGGTATTGCTAAGTGTTAATAAAGAATACTGCTTTTCTCTGAATGGCATAGAATAGCCCTTACTGGGAAATATGATGCTCCCCTTGAATTCTACAGAATTTATTTGTTTTATCCATATGATGAATTTTTTTTCACAAAGCAGTTTATTATAAAGCATAAAGGTACTTAAATCCTTTATTATAAACCCACTGTCTAAAAAACTTACGGCAACTTACAATAAAGTATAGTTTTCAAGCTCCCTCTTGTGGAAATAATTATTAGGTCATTTACTAGAAATATTTACTTTCAGACCTGTCATCGTGTAGTAGTGATGGAAAACATAAGGAATGGTAAGTGCTCTAAGGCTGGAAGGATCCTTATAATGCTCTGAAAGGATCTCAACACTTTACAAATAAGAAAACAAAGGACCACAGAAGTTAAGTGACTGTTCCAAAATCACATAACTGGAGACCAATTATAGGGCCCCTGGTTCAATGTTCTTTCCAAGACTCTACAATGTCTCCCTTCATTAATCAGTACAAATATGATCTGAAAATTAAAAAATTGAATTTCTAAAAGTCTGTAACAATTTATAGAAGTATTAGAATATGTGACTACTAAATTAAATAAGTTTTTTTGGTAATGCAATATGGAAGACTAAAATAAAAGGCATTAATTATAAGTCAGGTGGAATATCTCATGAAAAAAAATTATCACCACTTGTATTACCTGAATCAACTTATACACTATATGATTTAAAAAAACCTAAAAGTAAACTCAATTTTCTATTTAATCCTCAAAAACTCTCTGAAATTTTTAAAGGTACTTGAAATACTGAAGATATATATAAACTGAAGAAATAATATTTCAGCCTCAAATAGCAAAATAAAAATGATAGTTTGGTTTGAATGCCAGTTATTAACCTTAAAGTTTCTATTCACTATAAAATATGATATCAGGCATATTAAACAAAATATCATTTTATCGTTCCTGCAACTATGTACACTTAAGAAGCTAACTATTATGATTCCAATTTTTGCATTTTAAAGAATTTTACTCAAATAAAAGGTCCAACTTGCCCAATGTCTTCCAAAATGAAAAGTTGAAAGTGTCATGTAACTAAAATCCCCTACTAGCTGCTAAAATAGCTAACCTTCATTCTATAGCTAAAATACTATTTAATGTGAAATATTTTAAAGATATCATTAAAAGCATATAAAGCATACTCAGCCAAGGATAATGAGTCCCTGCTATTACTATCTTCTTCCTCAAAACACTCAACAGCACTCAGACACTCTTCCATATTTGTTTGCAGAATATCTTCAATTTCATCTTTTTCCATGCCAAAATGTATCTCTTCCCAGTCAGAACTACAAAACTAATATATCAAAAGACGGCATTAAATGATGGGTTCATGATATTATTTATATTAACAAAGACATTCACTATGACTATTTTTCTAAATTTATATTACCTGATAAAATCCACATATGGCTTGCACTGCAAAGAACCACTTCTTGGAACCAGGTATACCGCCCACCGAACATGCTTGAAAAAAAATCACACTTATTAGCAGAAAGGTATACCACAATTAAGCAGATGTTATAGCATATATACTGAGAGAATTACATAATTTTGATACATATTATATAGTTCTCAAAGTTACATATGTAATATATATAAAGTGCACTATATACACCCACATATATGGGATCTTTTTAGAATCTCTACTAAAAATCCAAACAGAGCAATCTGCCTAAAGAGTAAAATAATTCACTCACCATGAATACTCTGGCCTAGTTCATCACAGGTCAAAATCCGTATTATTATTTTAATCATCACTTCAAACACTAAAATCTATCATAAAAATGTTGAAAAAAATCCCACTGTATTTCTATTGATTCACACAAAACCATGCAAGTCATTTTAGTGAAAACGATTCTCCAAAGACCATGAAGGTCTGGCTAGAAGGGGAGTAAAGAGTAACTATAACCTAAGACAAGGAGCATGCTCATCTTAGAGACTGGAATATTACACGTGGATATGAAATTAAGGGTCTCCCCAGGGTGCATGTCAGAAAATCATGAATTTAGAGCTATGCATAGAAATTAGATTCAATGGAGAGAAAGGAGAAATGTGGTAACTGAAGCTTAACTCATGAAAGATAGGAAAGATGCTTTATCTCAGTTATAATCATATTTGCAAGTATGATCCTCAGACTTACCATTTTACTGAAAGTAACAATCCTAGCATGGTAAGAAACTCAATTTAGGCAGTTCTCCCTTTGCATAGTTCTGAAATGCACATATTTCAGTTACCATGGTTTAAATAACACCAATTCCCCCTAAAGAGGGTTCACATTCCAGTTACCATGGTTTATTAATGAACTATAATTGCATAAAGTAAAACTTCACTGCTAGCTTCTCAGACCACAAATCACTACATAAATAAAAGATGTGTATCATGATCAGTGACCACTTACTACTTTCAAAGTTCATTGCGAATTGGTCCCTGCATGTTACTCAGTTTGCACATAGATAGCAAAAGGTGTAATTGTGTAGCCTCCTGTCTTCCTGTGATAAATCCATGTGATATTTTACAAAAATGGATACTAGGAAGAGGAAATTGACAAAAGAAAAAGACAAAAGGACAGTAAGAAAACAAAGTGATAAAGCTGAAAGTGATATTCAAATCTAACATAAATGGAATCTAAAAATAGCTGCTGTGATTAAAACAAAACAAAACATTGTGACATAAAGGAAGAAGATGTCCCAGAGAAAATGACGCTGGCAAAAACCTTTGCATCAAAGGAACTCAGGTAAGGAAATGGTTGAAAAGAATTAATAATGTACTTGTGCTCAGAACAAAATAATAACCCTCCTTATCATGCCATACTGCCCTATTTTATATGGAGCGACAGATGGACAAGAAAATCTCATAAAGGAATCAAAACTCAAGCTCAGAACCTAAAATAATTTCATAACAATTTTATGACATTCAAGCATCAGGAAGAGAGGGGCAGTATCTTTTCCAGTTTTGTGTTTCCTTAGTTACCTTCTGATTCCAGGGACTTGTACACAGTCAACAAGTATTTCTTGTACACCTACGTGATCTAATTAAGTTTATTTGCGGTACCAACAAATATTGTGCCAGAGGAAAGGGGGATTTATGCTGTACTTACCAGGGAAAGTACTATCTTCTGGGTTAATTGAAGCACTAATGTTTCTTTTCAGGAGGTTATAAACATTTGCTGCTGTCAAGTCTGAAAAGGAAATAGCAGACTAAACAGATTCAAGAGTTACATAATCTAGGCCTATTCTAATTTCAGCATTGGAGACTCTCAAGAAAAATACGTTGAACATAAAAGAACTGTGCTCCGCTCAAGTTTTGTTATAATAAACCTAAAGCAAGTAGAGAAAACAGGAAATGCTTCCTGTTTGTACATGCTAGCCAGGGAGCACGTCTCCGAAATCCCCCCCAAAGAGTAATTCCGCCGAAAAGGAAACCCTGTCACAACAGCCTGCATACAACCACATCCACTACCTCCTCAAAACGCCTGCGTGATCAAAACGAACAAATAAAACGCAGGAGAGTCTAGACGGGAGCACCCAAAAAACCTGCCTTCTCAAAACACGGTTAAAAATGTTTTAAGTGTATCACTTCTTCTTTTAACTTCTGTGTGGGACGTCTCCTCCCATGAGGACGTCACCTCTAGGAGACTAAGGCCCTTTCCACCTCGTTCCTCTATATTCCCTGCATTCGCAAACCAAGAGGCAGACATCGCTTTGGAAAGCATGTACTTCCAAAAGGCGGAAATTCTATCACTAAAGCACAGGGAATTTATTCAATTACGTTTTTACTGTTTCCAAGAACTTCTGGGCGCTCAAATCGTGCATCCGCCGAGTCGTCCCTATTTTCCCGGGAAGGTAACGAAGCCCCTCAGCCCTTTAGGTTCGACCCCCGATGGAGTCGCAGCTCCCAGGCGGGCTCCGTGGAGAAGCGACCACCAGCCCAGGCTCCCCTCCCCCCGCAGGCCTTCCCGCTCTTTCTCAGGCCCGCACTCACCCGGCTGCTTCTCGGCACCCCCGGCGGACCGCGACCCGGGCCG